AAATAGTTTATAAAATTTTTTTGTAAATAAGAGTATATGTAATGCATATAATCAATAAAATGGGCGACGTTGTGTGTAAAAAAAAAAAAAAAAAAAAAAAAAAAAAAAAAAAAAAAAATTTATATTTTTTTATTTTTCCTTTCTTCTTTTGTAATCTCTCAAAATTAGTAATGATAATCTGTTAGCAATTATAATGGATTAGAAAAATATTTATTCAAAATTTATTATAAAATAAAATATTGTTCTAAGGTTATACTTAAAGATTGAAACTTGTTTAGCCATAATACAATTGTTTTAATGATTAATAAATATACAGTGCTAACTTGATTGCAAGTTTAAAAAAAAATAATTTAAACAAGTTAAAAAAAAAATAATCTAAACAAGTTAAAAAAAAATTCAAATTAAATATTTTATTTAAAATAATTAATAAAATTTCTGAAAAAAAATATATTTTTTTTGAGCATGCTCAAGCCTACTTTATTTGATTTTTCCTGTATTACAGATACTTGAATTTACAAAGCTATTTTGTTTACTACTTTTCTCTATGTCTATATACAAGATTTTACAAAAAAGTCAATTGTACCTTTGTATTTTTGTGGCTTATTGCTCCCTTGCCAGGAGAGCTAACATGTCTAGGCTCTATTAGTATGCTTTGTTGAAAATAGTAAAGATATTATATGTATCTTTGATGATTGTAGTTAGAAGATCAGCTAATATCTCTTGGTTAGTGTCATTTAACCTTTGGTTTCTATTGGTATTCTTTTCTTTCTTATTTGTGTAGTTATACTTCTTCTGTCAGTTGATGTCTTGCGCTGCCTCTCAGGTATAGAAGTGAAGACTTCTGTTACTCCATATACTGTATGTAATAAACTGAATACTATTTATAATGCCTCTTATGGTTGAGGTTAGTTTGTCTGTTTTTGTGTATTGTGAGATAGGTGAGATTAGACTCTTGGTAATTTCTTTTTTAATAACTATGATCTAGCTATTTGACTTGTTGAGAATGCTTGTAATTTCATGAATTATGTTGTGACTGAATTTGTTCTTTTTTCTGACAGCTATCTCTCTATAAATGGTATTAGCCATTAGCTATTTTATTTCAAGTTAGTAAGTTGAGCATATAAATTAATATAGGTTATTTTCATTAATAATGTACTAGAAGCATTTAGAAGTCTTGTAGATGATGAGGTATCGGTGATGCAGCTTTTTTATAGTAGAGAGTTTTTGGTTTCAAAGTTTGACTGTGAAGATTTGAATCTCATGGTCTGTGATGTTTATATAGTCACTAAAGATCTTGGAAAGGTGTAACTACTTGAAAGTGATTTTTCAATTGATTTCGTTTTTGAACTGTGTGTACATTTGTTTATTTCTGGTAAGCTTTATCCACTTATATATGTGTTTGGCTTGACTAATTGCTTTAATTGTCTTTTGAATGTTTTGAGTGATTTCGTGTTCCTTGAAGTGAAAACTGATGAGATCTGGATCTGTATTGCAGACTATAATAGTGCCTTCTAGTGTTGGTTGTAATGATTTGCTGGCTTCTTTTGCCAATTGGTTGGTCTCAATTAGTAAAGGGTCCTTGTTTTCTTTCTTACAATATATTTATTCAATTGAGATAGAGTTGTCGCATATTGGTCATACCTGATTGGATAAAATTCTTGCTTCTTTTGCCTTTTTGATTTGTTTGTTTTGCACTAGTTCATAGTTTGTAATGAAATTAGTTGAGTAAATATATAGAGATATGTGTGTTTTTTTGTTGCAAAGTTCCATAGCAATTGTTATTGCGATTATTTCACATCTGTTTGCTAACAAGTAGCCATTAATAGTTATTCCTATTTTGATAACTTTATCTGTCTGTGTTTTAAAGACTATGTCAGCTCCTCCCTGGGTCATGTCTTGATTAATTTTATGGGTGCTGTCTGTGTATATCATAATGTGATGGTGTTGGCTGTGTTGATGTGTGATATTTCTAAGTTTCTGTGCAATGTTGTTTGAGAAGTTGATGAGCTTATGTAATTGGGCTAGAGGGTCAGGTGCCTCTGTTATTTCAATACATTCGAGAACACTGTTGGGCTTATTGTACCATCTTTGAATACTGAATGGTGATACTTGTAGTCACTATTTGGCTTTGCTTCCTTGGGAGATTGTGGACTTTGTCATTTTGATAACTGGTACTCTTGCTATATTCTTTATACTTGTTTTTGAAAAAGATATCAATTGAATATTTTTATAAATAAATATATTATTTAAAGATTTGTGAATTAATAGCATATTATTTCTAAGTTATCAAGTATTGTTTTTAAGTTTAATATCACTATAAGGCATACTACTTAAAAGCTTAGGTAATACAAAAATTCTATTTATTTTATAATGACAATCTAGTTACCTTTGATTAAGATTCTATTTGATTATAGAGAATTCAAAAATTACAAGATGATTTGATTAGCTTTAATATTTAAACCAACTTATTAAAAAATAGATTCTACAAGGTTTTAACAAATAAGTTAAAAATCTGTATGCTGAAAAAAGAAGGAACTGAAGATGTTTAAGCATATTAATTAGAATAAGAGTTATTATCAAATCAATATTCATTCAAGATTCCACTTAGTTATTTTATAGATAGGTTATAATAAGTTATGGTCTGGTGAAAAAAAATTATACTTAAAACTCTATGTGAGTATTTGATAGGTATACTGAAATAGATAATATAAAAAGAATATTCTGTAATATAAAATATAAAAAGAGATCTTTAATTAGGAAACTAAATATGGTGCAATTATTTGGCAAAATGATTTAAACATGGTAAATAGAAATAGATGAGTGCTTACGTGCTTTTCATAATTGCAGAAGATGGAATAGATTAAGGAAAAATCGCCCGTCTTATTACTCATGTGAAGAATTTTTTATGAAATATACTCAATTACACGAAGAATTAAAGCTATATTACATATAGAGAGAGATCTGATCAAATATCAACTAAAAAAAAAAAATTTTTTTTTTTATTATAACACAAAAATAAAATAAGCAGGATCATAAATTTTTGACCTCACTTTTTTGAGGCGACTGTACAATATGTATTACAAATTTTTATCAAAAACTTATCAACAAACCATTCTTTGCAACGCGAAGGAAATTTTATATACTAGTGATTACATTTTATACATTTACATGACTCTGATAACATAATGATATAATGGATGCTATTGTTTGTTTTGGTTTCCTTTTTTTTAACGAAAAAGTTTAAAAATATATATTTTAAATTCTCTCTAAATTCTTATTTTAAGTTCTAAGGTAGAATTTATATAATGCACAAAGTTATAGATATTATTAATAACTATAATACTGTATAAAATTATAATTATTCGAGAATCAGAATCAATAAATTCGCTTTCCCAAATAAGAGTTTTTGTTTTTGTTTTAAATGTTCAAATGTTTACGAATGTCTTCACGCGTTATAGAGCATACTGCATAACGAGAACTTTTTCTCCAATCATCCAACAAAATCAAACATGCCATAATGATTCCGTTGGATTCGTGATTTTTCAACGTTAACATGTCAGATTATTTGTTTTGGTCTTACGCAGTAAACGAACTAGAAACTTGTTATCTGATAGATGTACAGTATACTGTATAGTTGCGATAGCGGTGATTAAAATTTATGACAAATTTGGGCATGTGAACACACCGTAGTCGATTTTTTCCCCTAAATTAGCGACTGTCAAAAGAAAATCGCATTACGTATTAATACCAGGAACGTGGAAGAACAAATTGAAAACCAACATGCAGTTGATTCCTGCTTTTGTACCTGACTTGCTAAACGGCGAATTACCTTAGAGAGTCAGTAGCCAAGCCGGCACGACACATCTAAATTCCGTTGCACTAGTTTCATCTTAATCGTATTCAACCCCTTTTCTTTCAAAATGGTATGTACTGTATATGTTGATATTCATGGAAAGTTGGATAGACTGATGGGCAGGCATACTTCATACTTCGCTCATGTATATAAATAATAAAAACCTTCTTTTGACATTAAACCTCGCGAGTTTTAAACAGCACATAATTTATTTGAATATTAAGATATTGTAAACAAATATTTATCCAATTGCCACTTTACATGATCACTATCGTATATCGATTAGGGTATTCGCTGATTCTCGTGTTCACTGCGTATTACGAATTGTACTCCGTACATGAGAGTGTCATTTATGGTAAATTGAGTTAAAAGAAGCGTAGGCTTAGTTAGATACACACTCTCCATCATTTGTCCTACTGTCTAATGACCAAGAGGGTAATACTGTTACGTGTATATGAAACGAGGCGTACTTGTACATGGTCACATTTGGAAATCCCCGAAATAGTAATAATCCAGTTATTGGAACGGAATGTTATATCAATACATTGTTAATTCGATCTTGTGTTTACATTGTAAACGTCGAAATTATGCCTTGATGTGATGTTGAAATAAGTAACTTGACTGCGCATACATGTTCCGTTGCAATCTTAAATGCACAACGTGTTACATCTACAAGTCACAAGTTCACAGGCACGGCAAGAAGCCTCTTCGGAAAACATCATAATTAAAGATAAATTTAAAGTACGTAGTTAACCATTGCATTAATACATTAATTGATCATTTAAAGGCATCAGAAATCTTTTATCTATTTCTCTTTTAATTTCAACACCAATCAATGATCCTTGGCATGTTAGACCAATGGCAAATAAATAGAGTAATTTTCTTTTACGATGCCTAAGTATAGAAATGATAGTATCTTCTAATAAAATAGACGTATATAAATATCGTGTCTATAATACTTGATCCTTCTTTTTAAAAAAATTTTTACTCTCTAATTTCCCTAAAAATTCAGAATGCCCGATAAACAATATGTCTTCAATGTTAAAACCCAAGATAATTACGCGCTATTCGATGAGCAAAGTAAAAAACGACAAAAAAGTAAGTGGCCCCTTTGATCAACAACCTCTATCGACTTATCAGTTCTCATATTATTTAATTTCTTGTAATCAGGAGAGAGTAAGGAAAAAAAACATAAATCAGCCAACGATTGGGTTGAACCTTTGATAAATTCCATTAATGAAGACCATCCTCATGAAGCCCAGACTATACCATTTTCTTCCTTATCTTCAAATAATACACAATCCCCTCTCTTTCAAGCTCCGCGTCAACGTAATGAATTATGGGTGGATTCCATTAACGAAGATCATTCTCTTGCGGTCCAAGCTGAATTATGTATGTCGCCTCCTCCTTTGCCTTCAAATAACGTACAACGCGCCTTCTCTCGGTTTTCACATCAACCGATCAATGACGCAGGTCAATTACGGGTAAACTCCGCTTATGAAAAATATTCTTATGGAGTCCAAGCTAAGTCAGATACTAATGACGCAAGTCAACCACGGACGAATTCCATTAACGAAGATCATTCTCGTGCGGTCCAGCTATGGTCAGATTCCATCAGTGAAGATCTTTCTCATGAAGTCCGAGCTGAATTATGTATGCCGCCTTCTCCCATACCTCAAAACGACACACAGTACTCTTCCTCTCAAGTTACTCAAGTTTCACGTCAACCTAGTAACGACTCAAGTCAATCTCGACATTCCGTAAATGAAAATTATTATCATGGGATTCAATTCGAATTATGTGCATCCCCCACTCCCTTACCTTTGAACGACGTACAGTCCTCTTGTTCTCAGGTTTCACATCAACTTATGAATGACGAAAGTCAATCCTGGCATTCCGTCAATAACAATAATTCTCTTGGGGTCCAAGATCAATCACGTATGTTACCGCCTTCCTTACCTTCACGTAGCACGCAATCTTTGCATTCCATTGATGAAAATAATTCTCATGAAATCCAAGCCCAATTATGTGTGTCACCTCCTCCATTATCTTCATATGACACTCGATTTTCTTCCTATCAAGATCTACATCAGATTATTAGTGATGGAAGCCATTCTCATGGAACTTATGTTAAATCAGATGTGTTGTCTCCACATTTATCTTCTAACAATATACAATCCTCTTCCCATGATCCATATCAACTTATTAATGACACAAATCAACATTGGATAGGCTCTATTAATGAAAATCATTCTCATGGGATTCAAACTGAATTATACATGTTACCCCTTCCCTTACTTCCAAACAACCAATTCCCTTTCTCTCAGACTTCACATCAGCCTACTAACGGCATAGGTTCAATTCATTTCCTATTCTACATCTAGTTCAATACTCTTTTCATGTGCAATGTTCAGATAAACTTACCGTAGTTTTATTTTAAAGAATTTCCTTTCACCGTAAATTTCAAAATCAAAAGGGATTTATCCTTTTATTTCTAAAATGTTAAAATACTGTATATACAGTATGTATTTATTAAAAAAATTAAAAAAATTAAAATGGAAACTACCGCAAAAATACGAAAACCTTTTTCTTTCATATCATGTTTTATTTTATTTATTTATTTTATTTTTGGTATTCTATTTATATTCTATTTGGTCGTTTGAATAACTCTGATTTTTCCAAACCAATAAAATTTTATCGATTGTTATCACGAAAAATTATATAATCCATTATCATTTTATATATTGTTGCTTGTATTATGGTCCTGACAAAAGTTATCCGATTACATGAAGATCGCTACACAAAGGACCTAAAAATTGCGAACGTACCGATTTTGAGCATGGCAAAATTATTGGCCTGTGAAAAGGTGATCACTGTGAGCACAATATTAAGGATGTTCTTAATTATCCAATTCTTAATATTATTAAATGATCTAAGATAAATAAACAAACAATTGTTATTTCTAGGATTGACAGAAAGGGGTATTAGACATCCTGTAAAAATTGTAAAAAAAGATTGACAATAATATTTGAATAAAATAACAAAAAATTCAATCAATTATTAACAATTTCAATAAGTTCTTATACCATTTAATATATTTTATATAATAAAGAATTTTATGATCAAGCTGAAAAAATAAAATCTTTAATATTTAAAAAGAATAAAAAAAAAATAACAATGATATTTTATTAGAAAAATTAAATTTAAGTAAAATATAGTAATCAAAAATAACAATCTTATTTTTTATTGTTTCAAATTAACTTTTATTATTGAATTTGATAATATTTATATAAAAAAAATATAATATAAGTTAAAAAATTAAAATATAATAAATTACATGTTCTAAATATAACAAAATTTTTTAAAAAAATTTTATTTATATTAAATTAAAGTATAATTTCAAAATATATTTATTAAAATTAATTTATCAAGTAAAATAATTAAATAATGATTAAAGATAATTTAATAATAAATATTTTTAATATTGATTAAAATCATACTATTTATTTTTTTTTTTTTACTAATTTCTTAATTATATGCAAAAATAATTTTCAATGAAAATAAAAAGTTTTTATTTTAACAAACTATTTTTTTCCTTTAAATACTTTATAAAACATTATAAAATATATTTATATCCTTCTTTTTATCTTTTTATCTACTTTTTTTGAGTATTTTTATTAATAATAATGAAAAAATAAATATTTTTTTATTTTAACTCTCAATAATAAAAAAGTTCTTTAAGAAAAAAATATATATCTATAAACTTTTATCTAAGTTTTTTAATTGAAGCAAAAAATTTTACAAGGTTTTAATATAGTTATAAGTTCTATCTTTTAAAAAATTCAAAAGAACTTAAATAGTATTTTAAAATATATGGTTGCTTCCGAAAGTTTGAGTCCACTTACTATGTCTTTATTATAAATTTCAACCTTGACAATTTTTAAATCATTAACTATACAGTCAAAAATTATAAAATTTATATATATTATGTCTTAATACTTATTCTATTTCTTATATTTTTTTAAAAAAATTTTTATTAATATATTTTAAAGTTTTATTATTGTTAAATATTTATTAATTATCATATAATTTATAATAATAGCCAATCAAAATCCTTCAAAAGTAAAAATTTGATAAAGAAAAAAAATTTTACCAATAATAAAACTTTAAAAATTATATATCAAAAAATTTTTTAAAAAATATAATAAATAAAACTAGTATTAAAATATAATATATATAAATCACCTGTGGGTCAATAGTGCAGTGGTAGCGTTTCCAGGTCTCCATACACTGCTTCCAAGTTCAATACCACTGCGAGGCAGTACCACCTAAGCCTAGGTGTTACAGGAAGATTACATCTATCCCATGATGATGATTACTACCACCTCTGGTTAAGATCCCGTCCAATCACGGGATAATCAAAAGATTACAAGACGCTACAGCCGGTTTTAGTGCTGAAGTCACCTTATCACAAGACAGGTTTTAACAAGCTCCTATAGATAAGCTGAAGATCTGCTCGCCATAAAAATTGGGAACTAGCAGAGTTTAGGCACGTTAGTTAGAAGAGGGTCTCTACCAAGAGAATAGATATCCGTCCAAGACTCTACGTGATCACCCTATAGGTAGGCTATAATAGGTCATATAAAAAGAGTCATCAGTAGAATGAGACAACATCTAAGACTCCACATGGATATTTCGTAGGCATACTGTAATAAGTACTGTAAAAAGAATACCTGGCAGGACAAGATATAAAAGGGGTCCTATACTACAATCCCGAGCTAGGGAAAGGGTAGCATAGACATATGTAGTTGGATAGTTGGGCTTCTTCCGGCAACAAGTCATATTGATAGGCTAATAATTTAAAAGTGGGTTCGCAATAAAGATACTATTAATAGACATTATATCTTTGTACATACTTCCTGAGATGTATATAACCAAGTATGAGTTATATATAGCTAGAATTCCCTGTACAAATGCATATATTATACAACTGAGCTTTGTTACCCCTTAAAATATATATATATATATATATATATATATATATATATAAATTTTATAATTTTTAATTATATAATTAAGGACCTACAGGTTTATAGTGCAGTGGTTAGCACTCCATAGGTTAGATCACAAGAACCACGATTAAATCCTCCAGGGGGCAACCTCTGATAAGCAGGTAACGATCTGTATCTATTGGCATAACTGATATTTTCATATATAGCTTGTCTCAATAGCTGACTGAAGTTTCTGAGTGATACAAACCGGTCTATATATGGATTGTGATAAGGCTGAATATCCAAAATTGGATAGGATTATCCTTTAACACAGCTGCATTACTCAATAAGAGTAATAAGAAGAATAGACATTGAACCGGTAGTATACTGCTGAAGGAAAAATAGTAAATCAAACGAAGAAAAACCTGGTTTCCTGCCTTAGTATTGAAGCATCCGTTCAAGAATTCAAGTATATGGCTGTGTCAAATTTCACAGACTTGACTATTGGGAGGTCTTGGTGGGAGAAGAAATCCATGGACCACTCCGAAGAACTTAAAATACTGAGAAGTTCAGGATAAAGAAAATTCGACGGCCTGATAATCAGAATACGCTTACTGTAAATAAAATTGTTCTACGAAAAATTAAGAAGGAATCGTATATTTTTCTGAATAGATAGTAGTTGTATATAGAGATAGAATAGTTATAGCTACTCATATAAATAGGTTTACTTTAAAAAATGTATAACTACTTGTTGACTATATATGCAATTAAGGCTTTGTACAGTTCGTGGAGATCTTGTATAGCATATAATAAGTTAATAAAAGATGTGGTTTAATCAGAATAAAACATATCCTTAATTGGAAAAACCTTGATCACAACCTCACAACAACTGACAGCACCTCCACACTAAATAATATTGCATGGGAGGTCTTACTCATCAACAGGCCATACTCCAAACTTATAACAGGACCCACCAACCAAGAGAATCACAACAATAGATCCTTCAGATACAGACTTTGGAATCTTGAACTACCTACTAAGGACAAACTATACAGAAGAGTGGCAAACACCTATACGGACAATCAATGTCTCAACTGCCAACAAACAGAAACCAACATACATTGCATGATATGCAGTGGGAATGGAGCAGACATCTACAAAGAATTACAACAAATAATAAAAGAAGAAGTCAGTAGTAGATCAAACATACCCACACAACACACCCTCAATAAAGAACTTAACAAACAAGCAAAACTTTGGACAAATAAAGTTAAGGATTACATAGCAAGAGACACCCTTACAATGGACTTAATAAAGAGTATAAAAAAATACACACCAGCAGAACATCACAAGGAAATCATCAAAAGTATTATCAATAGACTTCTTGATATACAACAAGGAAAATGGAACCATGGATGTGATAACTTTATATAATAAGAAAAGGAACACAATATTATCACAAAAGACAAAAGACAAAAGGTAATAGCAACCCATAACCATGAAAAAGAATACACACAAATCCTGCATCCCAGGAATCAATGCAATAATGATACATGCTAGCCATCACTGGATTAACTGAAACACAATTTATTCATTTAAAACAAAATTTTTATGAGACAGGTAGAGCCTTGGCAAATTAGTTAAGTATATATCAGTACTTGGCAATAAGCTGTATGGTAGGAAGATTTCCTTAGTGAGTTTACTTAGATAGATAGAGTAATAAATTTGTATAAAATAAATTTGTACATATTCATCATAAAAATATCAAATAAA